TATGCTGTAGGATTGTGATACTTTACACTAATCCATGAGGGTGTCCATGAGAGTCGAAATTTTTAATGCCATTATGATGTCTAAGCTTACCAATCAGACAGAGACGAACTTGATTGTTAAAATATTTTCAACACTGTTTTCATATGCTCCCTCTGCCCCAAAATAGAATTCATTCTCGCTTCCCGAGAAGTTAATTTTTTTAACTTCGACCAATTATATATAAAAGAATATTAATATTTATAATACATAATTAGTATCATTACATAGAACATTGAATATATTTTTATAATAAACTTATTTGGAGATATAAATGTTGAACGTATTTTTTATAAACCTAGTCAAAGTTGAGAAAGTTTGACCTGCATGCATCCTATAACGACTTATATTTTGGGGCAGAGGAAGTATATGCTAATGGGAGTAGTCAACTGGAAGTCATGATGAACACAATAATACTTTCATATTATATGCTAATGGGAGCACGAAGAAACGCAGGGGAATGGACCTATATACTAATAGTGGGAATATTCGTTTAGAAAATTGCAGAAGGTTCACCAGTCTCACCATGTATAACATGCACATCTTTTTCTATCGCATGATTATTTCCTTCCATGCATGATTGTTTCCTTCTATGCATGATTATTGTTTCCTTCCATGCATGTGGCCTCAGGTGATCGATTTGTTTCCTTCAAAGCAGGCGGGGATCGCAGGGATAGAAGTTTCTTTTTCTATCGCGCAGGGTCTCGCACTGCCGGAAGGGAGGAGCGACCTAAAAAAAAGTCGAACAAAAAATGTCTTACTTTTGTTCTTTTTTAGTTTTAGGAGATTCCATTCCATTTGCCTTTGTTCATCTCCGCTCTCTTTCATGTGTGTGACAGGTAGGAGGCCAAGCCAAGCCTCAGTAGTTTTTTATGGCTTCGGGTCTTGGAGCATCTTCAGGAGACATTCTATATTTTATATTTTTATTTAGCTATTTACTTCATAAAAATTCTCTCCCCATAATCCAACATATTTTAGCAGACTAGCTATATTTCCAAGAGAAAAGGAATGGAATTTGGAGTAATGCAAACATGACACTCCTCACATACCAAGATAGCAAGGCAGGCCAGCTAGCTAAATTTAGCTTCCGAGGCTCGTGGGAATAGCATGTCGAATAGAATAGCAATCGCATTGGCTAGTCTGTTGGAGGTTAGTTTTCTAGAGTTTTAGCTAAAAATAGTAATGGCAAGTTAGTTAGTAATTCTCTTAGACATGCTCTTAAACATATGGAACTACAATATTAAAAAGTGTTGAACTGTAGATCAACGTGAGAAACACGGGAGGAGAATAGCTCTAACTCCATTTAGAAAGAACCGAGAAACCGGAGGAGTCGTGGAAAGCCACAATTTAAGAACTCCGCCAACTCTGTAAAAGCTAGCACGGAAGGTAGCCAGTGCTGGCCAGAGATTGGCCCAATAAACCCTTGGTATTTATTTACTATTAGAGTATCTTCAAGAGGTCATTTTTTAGACCTACCAAAATCTCTATTTTTATCGATTAGGAAGTATATAAAAAGGCTCGTCAACTTAGATAGCGCTGCTGTTCGTTTCGGTAAAATTTGGCTTATGCTGATGTTTTGATTTGTTGTGAGTAAAAAAACACTGTTTGTTCGTTGAAAAATACTGTTGAAGTAGTGTCACAGAATAGGTTCAACGTTTGGTTGGGAGACATGGTGTGATAGGATGGATCCAACTCAGTTTTTAGGGATAGGACGGTTCTAGCTATCGGGTTTGCTTGAGGAGACGGAATGGTCCTTGTTTTTTTGTTTGGCAGGAGGAGTGGGAGAAGAAAAGCACCGTTTAGCTCCCTGTTAGACAGCGTTAAAATGGGCCCGGCGTGTCAGCCTCTTTTCTTCTTCCTCTGCCACGAGCAGCACTAGAATGGAGCGGACCGGGGAGATCGGCATCGGGGCTGACTGGCCAAGGGACGGAGAGTCCAGTGTCTGGGCGGGCCAACCGCGGGGCAAGAAGGCCCAGCCTCGCCGCTCCGGAGACCCCACCATGGCTGTTGCGTCCCTATGCTGTGCACTGAAGGCACCACCATGGCCGCATCGTCTGAAGATCGCGCCCCTCGCAGGAGATGGAGCCCTCACCGCCGCACAACCTGCAGAGAAGCGGTGCAGTCCACCCGATTTGGCACGCCACTCATCATTGATCCGACTTGCTGACTAGTAGCAGGCCGCCGAGTCCGTCTCCGCTCGCCTTGGCCGCCTGTTCCACCCGACAGCCTTGATCTGGCCCAACTGCGAAGAAGCTCTGCCCGCTGTGGCCACCATCGCCAAACTGCAAGGCTCCGCCGTCATCGCCCAACGGAAGAATACATCGTGATGCGGGGACGAGTTGGTCCATGCTTTTTTTAGAGGCAAGGTCATCCTCAAATCTCAGCGAATCTTCCCAATGAGGGTGAATTCATCCTACCCAGTATTCCAAATAAACACCTTGAGATGGGTCCATCCCATCCCATCCTACCTAGTGTCTCTAACCAGACACAACCTCAGAACCGGCCATCTTTCAAGAATCTGGTGAGGGCAGACAAAACACGACGTCACCAGGGCACGTACGATGGTGGTGGTAGCGGTACAAGTTGCTTAATTAACTTGGCCAATTAGTCAGCAAATTCAAATGTGCTCACAGAGGAAACTGAAGTCAGAGAGCTCAGGCTTGTTGCTTTTGCGCCATTAAAGAATTATTAGTTTGCACACCGAACATGTAACACGGCGGGATTGACGGATTCAGATCGAACTAGCTTAGCTTCCGTGGAGGAGATCCACATCCACACATGTATACAGTATATATACTATGGTCCAGTTCGCTTCGCTGAAAAAACAAGCCAAAACACTTGAGTGAAAAATACTATTTCGGCTGAAAAAACAAGCTAAAAAGTACGGATTATAAGAGAAGCGAATGTAGCCTATGTGTGTAGTAGGAGTATTAGGGGGCGTTTAACATAGCTCCGGCTTCCTGCCTAGACCGTATTGTGCTGCCTTGTAGCATAGGCCGACCGGCTCTGACTCCGTCTAAAAATAATCGGCAAGGAGCCCGAGGTTTGAGGCTCCGGCGGCTCCTCCACAGAACTTTAGGTTTAGTGCTCCGGCTGCTTCTCCATGTTACTTCTACCTTACTGATACAGGAGCCGGAGCGCCCCTCCAAACAGATCCTTATAAGAGCTTGCTAGTGCCCGGATGACCGCTCGTGCCGTTTCACGCGCCCACACGGGGCCCGTGCCGCCCCGAACGTCACCAACATCGAGAAGAAGGGGAGGGGGCAGCGGATGCCAAGCCGGCGCCGGGAGGAGGAGAAGACACCGAGGCGAGACAGCGGAAAGCGAGGAGGGAGATGCAACACCCGATCTACTTTTACAACATCCAGGTGCAACACTTGCAACATACGTCCGAAGACAGATGAAATACTTGAAACATGCATCTGAAACACTTGCTAAAACACTTGAAAACCATTGTAAAACATACACAACATCCAGATAAAATACTTGCAACATATGTGTGAAACATATGCAACATCAAAATAAACGCACTTGTAACATACGTCCGGAAAAACAGATGAAATGTTTGGAATATATGCTTGCTACATACGTGTACAACCATTGCAACATATACAACATCCCGATCTACTTTTGCAACATCTGCATAAACACAAACATCTAAAACACTTGAAATATACACTTGCAACATGTCAGGCGCGACACTCTAGTGGGTGACGACCACCATGTCTAGTGAGCCTCGAGGCAGTCACGAAGTACGGCACAACCACGACAGCCTTGCCGTCTCTAGCTGCAGGAGAGGTGATGAGGAGGACGCCAGTGCCGGGCGTCGACAATGAGGCGGCAGATGTGCGGGAGAAGGACCTTACTGGTACCCAGAGCGAGAGCCATCATAGGGTATGAGCAACATCACGGACTTGGGGAGCTTAGAGAACGGCCACGTGGCAGCAGACGCCATGGTCACGACGATAAGGGGCAGGCGGAGCAGGACGAAGGTCGGGGCAGCGGCGATGGCCACAGTGACGAGGAGTAGGATGTGAGGGCGAATAAGGGCTGGAATGCGGCCACGAGGAGGAAAGGAGAGTGGCGGTGGGCCGCGGTAAGTCGTGCTAGGGTCCGGACCTTGATTGAGTGTGGTGGAGACGCCATTCACAGACGATGTTTCGACTGCAAGACTGGAAACGTGGGTGTGGACTGAATTTGGAAGAAGGAGAACGTGCGTGCAGCCAGTAGCTTGCAGGAGTGGGAGATTTTTTTTTTCGGGCAGCGTCTGCACCGCGCAGCATTACCGAGGTAAACCTGGGATGGGATGGGATGGGATGTTGACAGCCTAGGTATTCCGGGCCGGGGCATGCACTGCAGTCTGCACTGCACCCATGCACGTGGCGCCAAAGCGGCCAAAAATATCTACTCCTACTCGGCTACTCCGGTAGGGGCTCACGCTCACCAGGGGGCAGCACAGCAGCAGCAGGTCAGCAGCGGAAGCAGGCGAGCCGCGTGAGGCGTGGTGACCTCGCAACGGCGTAACCTGCCTGCCGTGCTCTCTCCGGTCTCGTCGCGGCATAAATGCAGAGGCGACGGGTTGGTTGGCGCCATAAATTACTCGCCACCACCGCTCGACCTACCCGTCCTCCTAGCTCATCCGCGCCTGCCCCTCCCTCCCCCTTCCCTCCCCCTTCCCCTTTGCTTGCATCAGAGCAGCTGCTGCCTGCGCCGTGGCCACCTCAATTCCCTCGCTCGTCGTCCGATCCGTTCGCCACCTCGTCCAACTTCCTCTCCCTTCCCACCACCTCCTCAACCCTACCGTCGTCGTCTAGCGGACTAGCGGAGATTGCTACGACCAGATCGGAGAGCTAGCTCAGCCCAACCCAGGAGCGGGAAGAAGAAGAGAAGAAGAAGCGAAGCGGCAGGTGAGGTGGTGGTTGCTGCCGGCGCGCGGCTAGCGAGCTTAAGCTACCTGCTAGGCCATGGATCCGTCGGGCGGCGCGTTCCTGCCGCAGCTGCAGCAAGGGAGCTCCTCCTTCCCGCGGTCCTCCAGCAACACGTCGCTCACCAGGAGCGGCAGCGGCGGCGCCGGGCGCGGGAGGGGCGGCACCAGGGGCAGGAAGATGATGCGCAGGGTCTGCCGCGGCGTCATCACCTTCATCTTTGCCATCGGTACGTACGACGTCGTCCGAATCAACCCCCACCCCCACGCACTTTCGCCTTTCGTTCCTGCGCATCCTTTTCTCCCCTGCTTCTTCCTTGCTCATCCTCCTCCTCCGATCCGTATCTGCTCTGCTCTGCTCTGCTCTTGTAAAATTGCATTTGCGGTGTGGCCGATTTGGGCGCGGCGCGTGCGAAATGCATGCGATGCGAATCTTGTTTACGTTTCTGCAGAAGGTTTCCCTTTCTTTCTTCTTTGGTTTCTGTTCCCATCCGCCAGCCTGATTCACTGCACAAAATGGGGCTTTTTTTTTAATCAAAGTTCATGATTATGGGCCTCTAAAGTTTTCACTTGATTCTGCTTGTTTTTTTCCTTTCAATCCTAACAATTTTCTTCATGGTTTGGCTCTGTTTCAGCTTTCAAGTGTTTTGTACATCATAGGATTATTAATCGGTTGCAATTGCTCAAAGCTCACAACTTTCGAGTGTTTGTATTGTACTAACTCTGATGCCTGATCCCTGAAACAAGAAATACAGAATCAACCTTGTCTAACTGAAACATATTTGTTGAGCTATCTATGTTCTTCCCCACCACTAAAGTTACCAGATTTTTTGGGCTAGCTGCAACATAAGATTTGATGGCTTCAATTTTTAAGTTCAATTTGGCAAGCGATCTTTCTCTTTACTTTCTTTTTGTTTCTTTGTTTTAAGGAAAACGATCTCTCTCTCTCTCTCTCTCTCTCTCTCTCTCTCTCTCTCTTATGTATCAACTTCATTTTTGCTTTGTTAAGCAAGACAAATATCTTTGCATGTCTGATGCTGCAAACTACTAATCTGAAAAGGCGCTGGGTGCATGTATGCATGCAGCTGGGCTGTTCCTGGGGGCGGTGACCGGCGGTCTGATCGGGCTGGCGACGGAGAGCGGGCTGTTCCGCGGCACCGGGATCGGCGCCATCACCGGCGCGCTCGTCTCCATCGAGGTCGTCGACTCCTCCATCCGGCTGTGGCAGGCACGCCGCTCCGGGATCTGGAGCATCCTCTACGTGGTAAGGATAAGCACTCACCATTCACCACTAAGCACTACTGCAGATCAGGATCAGCACTGGTGATGACAGTTTCATTTGAAGATCAGATAATGCTTGCTGTGCCATGGCCCAGCAGTAGCTGGGAGTAGGACAACAACTCGCGACTGCATACCTGACTTGCTTTCTTGCGTGGACTTGCTTGCTTCTGTCTGCAATCTGCATGTCGGCTAGCTTCTGTTGCTGATCAGTCAGTTAGTCAGTAGTAGTTTAAGCATATGCATGGATCATTAGATATTTTAAGGCTTTGTGTTTCTTTCACACAGTGCTTATAATGACGTATTCAATCAAACCTGCAACTCAGCCAAGACCCATTTGGACAGTTTCCTCCTCAACAAAGAACAATTCCTGCCTGCAATTAAAATCCTTGTGGAAAATTTGTCTTGACTGAGCATTTCCTACCTTACCAGCTACTAGTTAGTATTAGTAAATAGCCGAATAGGATAGTTGCAAGGCAGTCTCTGGCTCTCTGCATCATCTTTTTTTGTAGCATATATACAAATGACGTGAACATGCTCGAGACGACGGCGTCTCTGAAGTCTGAACTTGAACATGCTCTGAGATGAGAAAGCGTTTCTCATGTCTGAACTGAACATCAATCTGTTCAGTTGTGCTGCTGCTGAATTTTCTCGTGTCTTCACTAACGGCCGCAAATGTGAACGGTTGCAATGCAGCTGAACGTGATCTACAGCCTCCTGACCGGCAGGCTGGTGCGCGAGAAGGTCGACCCGGCGGTGCAGAGGGTGGTCCGGAGCCAGGTCTGTTGTTGATCCATGTCGAACATTCATGCATGCATGCATCTTGTGCTTCTCTGAACCTGCAGTGCAGCTATGCACGCAACGCTCGGGTTCGTTCGTTCCATTCCACGCCTGACGAGCTAGGTGCCTTGCCATTATTTGCAGATGAACGCGGTGGACTCGTCGCCGTTCAGGGAGTCGCCGGACCTGTTCGAGGTGGAGGTCACCAACGGCATGCCACGGGCGTCCATCGACAAGCTCCCGGAGTCGTGGATCACGGAGGAGTACAGGCGCGACGCCGTCGGCGACCTCTCCGGCTGCTCCGTCTGTCTCCAGGTCCGGATCGATCTTTATTTGACGTCCGTTTCAGACATAAATCGCTGCTCGCTAGGAGTGGCGTAGAAACAGGTTTCTGAAAATCTGGATGCTATTCGTTCGTGAATGGGTGCAGGATTTCCAGGTCGGGGAGAAGGTGCGGAGCCTGCCGGACTGCTGGCACGTGTTCCACGTGCCGTGCATCGACGGCTGGCTCATCAAGCACGGCTCCTGCCCGCTCTGCAGGAGGAAGCTCTAGACCGTACGCCATGGATGCGTTCTCGCCGGATGATGTGCCCCCGCCGCCGCCGTCGCTACTAGGATCGGAGGAGGTTGGAGCTGGAGGAGGAAGAAGAGACTGACATCTATAGAACCCTTAATTTATAGAGAGCTTTTGGTTTTCTGCTTTGCTGCTGCTGCTGCTGCTTGTACGTGTCCTACTACGTACGTACCTTTTGCATCTTTTTTGATCCCCGCCATGATCTTCCTCTACCATGCATCGATCACCTCTCGGTTCCGTTCCTTCTATCCTGAAGATCTCATGTAATATACCCTGGACCGGCTTGTGCTTCGATCCATTCCATGCATCTCCGGACTGTGATCTGGTGTAATATATAAAAACTAGTATGTATATCATCGCACTTTGGACATGCATGATGATTGCCGTTGCTGTACGCCTGGCTGTTCCAGTTTCTTCAGAGTTTCTTCAGAGACGAATAAACTCCAACGGTTAAATTCTTGAAAACACAGCCACGATAAATTCTTGGACTCGGTCAGATTATAACTGCTCGGCCTGAGCTACCGATAGATTTCGCAAACTGCAAGTGACCAACGCCATGATCGGGCCTGTTCGTCGTGTGTTCGTATCACTGGCGATTGTACGCCGACCGCCGACAGAGGTCGCCGGCCGGGCGGCCGGGGATTGGATTGGATTGGTTAGGTACGTAGGTTAGGTCAGATGATTCATGGCGTCGAATAGTCACCGTGTCCGGCTGCCACTGCGCATGTGTGATGCATGCGTCTGCGTCGGCGACAGCGAGAGCCATGTCTATAAATACGGATCTCGATCATCTGACAAGGTGCACACCAGTACTCCTATGTCAATATATAGCGGTGCGCTCAAAACAAGGCCATGTTTAGTTGTACCCTAAAATGCTAAATTTTTTAAGATTTTCTGTCACATCGAATCTTTGAACGCATGCATGAAGCATTAAATATAAATAAAAAATAAAACTAATTATATAGTTTAGACGAAATCCACGAGACGAATCTTTTAAGCTTAATTAGACTATGATTGGACACTAATTATCAAATAACAACGAAAACGCTACAGTAGTGTTTTGCCAAAAAATTTGGCATCCAAACTGGCCCCAAGATAAGCTGCTGCTGCCCCAGATCGGAGTGGCCAGACAGACAGGCTATGGATCGGCAAACGTCAGTACCTGCACCAGTCGTTGCCATGTGCCAAGCCATGCATGCGATGCAACGAGAGCGAGAGAGAGGCACGGAGGCATGGAATTGAAAGGTGGGACGAACATGGGCGTCGTCGTGGTTTTCATGGTGGGTGAGAAGATCAATGCGTTCCGCACAACAACATAACCCACGAGACCCAGCTTCAGTTTCGAATGGTATCCATATCAATGAGCCCCTGTAGGGGATCCGAACCGAACCGCATCGTTTTCTATATTTAATCCGATCGAATCTGTATTTTCTTGTCCGACTTTACCATTTTCGCTTTCGCATTTGAGATGTTTCGTATTTCAAATATAAAAGTAGAAAACGGTTTACACATTTTTCGACCGTTTTCTACTTTTCTACTTTTAATTTGAAATATTCCGAATTCAAAATTCGGTTTAAACCGAATTTGGCCAATCGCATGTGTCATACAAACTCAATTAAAGTTGCTGCTCACCACGCAATTGCGTTTTTTCTCTTGGTGGCTAGCTGCCCTCTCTTATAGACGGCGGCACCCACCTCATCATCTCTTATTATGTATTTGGTCGTGCACTTGTTTAATGCTATGCACTTGAACTAGATCATGCACTTGTTAGTTGTGAACTTGTTATGTATTTGGTCGTGCACTTGTTTAATGCTATGCACTGTGGATCGGTATTTCGTATTGAATTTTCGCATACCGACCGTGTTCGACATAATTCCGCTCGAATTGGTTCGTTTCCGAAATTCTAGATATTTTGTAAGTTCGTGTTCGTTTTCGTGTCCGGCTTGTCCGCTTTCGCTTTCGCTTTCGTATTTCAAATGTAAAAGTAGAAAACGGTTGAGGAGTTTTTCGACCGAGTTCGACCGTTTTCATCCTTACTCCCATACCTACGTCCCGCATCCCGCCCATCACGGGGAAACCCGCGTTCAAATCCTGCCCAACGCCCCACGTCCGCATCCCACCCAACGCTAGCGCCCACGTCCGTTGCAAGACCCGCGTCCCCGTGCCCACCCTGCACCTGCACAGGGGAAATTCACATGGGTTGACCCACGACTGCGCCCCAGCAACAACAACAGGCGACTGTGGCAAGCCGCCGCCCGCCAGCCATCGACGCCGTGCAACACCCCGATCAATTTTTGAAACATCCAGATGAAATATTTCCAACATACGTCTAAAACAGATGAAACACGTAAAACACGCATGTATAATGCATAGCAACATATGCAACATCCAGATCTACTTTTGCAATGTCCCGATGAAACATTTGCAACATAAATATGAAACATATGAACACTTAAAATATACTCTTGAAACATGCGGCAGAGCCATAGCAACATTTGTAGCATCTAAATGGAACACTTAAAACAAACGTCTGAAATACCTGAAACACTTGAAACATAGGCTTACAACATACGTACATTGTAATTGCAACATATGCAACATCGTAGATCTACTTTTGCAACATCCTGATGAAACACTTGAAACATAAGTCTGAAACGTCTGAAACACTTGAAACACAGCGTCGCTGGCGACCACGGCCTACATGGTAGGGAACTGCGGTAGCCAGCAAGCTCGAGTCCGGGGGGCGTCGAGAGTTGCCCCTTCCTGCCACGGTATCTTCGGCTGGCCACGGTGCACGCCATGGCCGTGACAGCGCGAGGTGGATAGGGGCGCGGCGCGGGGCGTGGAGGAGTGCGATATGGGGGCCGGGTGCGGCGCACCCACACTGGAGAAGGCCGCCGGGCTGGAGAAGGCAAGCTAGAGAAGGTCGCTGGGCTGGAGAAGGTGCGAAGTGGATGGGGGCGGCGGTCGTATGCGCGTGGTGGGTGAGCGACGAACGCATGCGTGCGGCGGGCGAGCGGTGGGCGCATGCGTGCGGCGGTGGGGAAAGGAAAATGTCGTTGTCTTTTTTTTCCGAGAAACCGTGAAATACTTAAGTGGAGTGGAGCAGGCCGGTTGGGCCAGATGGCTGCGCAGGCCCGAAAACAGGGGAGTCTGGATGGATATGCCTGGACGGACATTCCGTTTTTTAGACTTTACATCTCATAGAAGTGTGGCAAGATTCTTTAGACATGATAAAATGTGGCATCAAATTTTCTAACCACATTTCTTGTAACTTGTCACACTTAACTAAAGTTAGTTATGACAAATTACGGCTAGGAACCAAATAACCCGTAACCTTCAGTTTCACTATCTATCGCCCTGTTCGCTTGGCTTATAAGCCATACTTTTTCAGCCAACAAATAATATTTTTCTCTCACAACAAATCAGCCAACAATACTTTTAGCCATGGCTTATCAGCCAAGCAAACAGGACATATATCACCGGGTAGTAACCTAAATTCTGCCTCCATTCTCATCATCAGTCCTAAAAAGAATCTAATTCTAGGTCTACTCAAAGTAAAAATTATTTTAAACTTAACTAAATCTATAAAAAATATTATTAACATGTTGAAATAGATATATCTAAAAAGAATACAAAAGATGTAATTCTGGGCCTGGTCAAAGTTAAATTATTTTAAATTTAACTAAATTTATATAAAAAAATCAACATAAATGACTCCACATAAATATACTATAAAAATATATTAAATATATTTCATGGCGATCCATCCTAAGAAAAAACCTACAAATGATACCACTCTAAGCCTAGTCAAAGTCAAACTATTTTGGTCAAAGTCAAATTATTTTAAATTTGATTAAGCTTATAGAAAATATTATCAACAAGAATGACTCCAAACAGGTATGCTATAAAAATATACTTCATGACAAATCTAATAATACTCTTTTAGTATGATAAATATTAGTATATTTTTATAGAATTTAGTTAAATTTCAAAGTATTTGATATAACACTATTAGAATTGCATGCTTTATGAGGAGGGACAGGGAGTATAAGTACATACTAGGAACAGTCAAATCAGCAAAACTGGGAACAACTGATAATAGTGAGACGAAATCAGTGATTTCACTTTACCAGCGGTCAATTAACAACAGTAGATGCAGTAGCAGTCAAAAACAGTACATACACATACAAAACATACATACACCTCACAGCATCAGTAAAATAAGTTACTCCTCCTTTTGGCTTATTATTATTTGATATGTATATATGCACTAATTCCAGCACTGGAAGACATATTACTTGCTTTTCAGGTGGAAAGGATTCGAGCTTTCCACAGAGCATCATCAGAAGAACAGCGACGAGCTATCGACTTGAGTCCACACCTTGACACCATTGAGGGCATTCAAAGACGCTGGGGAGGAGCTTCCGCGCCTCTCCTACTTCTTTTACACCATTGAGGGGGGATGGATGATCTTGGCCGGTACAAGTACATATATAACACATTCGACACAAGGAAAGAAAACCTCCTTCAGTCAAGGGCGTAGCCTCCTCTCCACCAGGCACTTTATAGTCACGTGGGTGCAAGCGTGTTGCTGCGCAGGCCGGTGCTGGCACCACCGCCTCGCAGGGAAAGAGTGGGACCTCGGTGCGTGCTTGCCTTGCTTACGAGGCTGGAGTCAAGGAACACTACTATGACTGTTATGTCGTCGTGGAAGTGGCGGCGAACACCGCGATCGATCTTCTTGAGGTCCGAGTACCTCATCTCTCTTTTCTTGGCTGCCTCTTGCAGTGCCGCTCTTATCAGCCTCCTAGCACAGCCCTGTAAGACCAAACAGAGATGTGAAGCATTAGACGCCGCAGTTAGCAGCCAGCTACCTCCTAACATCTAAACTTATCTTCTGTTTGGCTAAGAGCAGCAGTACATGTACCAAAGTTTTCTTACTACCACCAGTCAAGTATAGTTGATGTTTTGGACACAAATATATATTTAACTAAATGCAGGTCAAAATAGCTGTCCAAAACGTCATTTGATTTCGACCAGAAGGACTACAAAAGAAATAACTGAAAAAAGAAACTTTTTCTGCGTTAAAGTGTTCAGTTAGGAGTTAAGAAAACCTCATTGTTTGGAGAGATTTCTAACATTTAAGCATATAAGTCCATGATGCTAGGCTCCTGAGAGCTATAGGTCCAACTCTATGTCAATCTGACAATCACAATTCTACAGCAGTGGTTCTGTTCTCTACCTTGCCTGAACTGCATTATTATTTGCCAATAATTTGACCCTTCTATTTTGTTTACACGTATTTCGAAACAAACACGATGGTCCACATGCACAGTACCCAAGGGTTATTATATTTCTGTTACTATGAAATCAATGATATTTGCAAAAGATATTCGCCTTTTCTAAAGGATGCAACTTTTTGTGTAGCAACAGTCAGCTATCAGTAGGCAAATTCATCATATTATCTTAATCACATAGTCCATGCCCCATCAACAGAAGCTTGTAGTGAGTATCCAAAGAAATATGAAATACAACAGGGGGGAAAGACTAACTTACACTGCGGGGGCTACTGTGAACAATATCAACAGCCTCTTGGTTGGTTAAGTGCTCCCAAAGTCCATCAGATGCAAATATGAGAAACTGGTCGTGTGGTTGTAGTGGTTGCACACTGATTGATGGTTCTGAACTTAGTATTGGCTTGTTAAAAGGTTCACGGAGGCGGAATTTTACATATAGGGGTTCCCTGTTGAACTCTTGCTTTTTGAGATAAGCATCACCAATTGATCTACAAACCTGCAATGTACGATAGAGAAAACTCAATAATAATTGATATACATGTGAAAACTTAGGAAGTATTGCCAAATTTGCTAGTTGTCACTAATAGAATAAAAAAAAAATCACAAACTTAACATCTTAGCATAGCAAGTCCTTCAACAGGCACTTAAACCATTAACAGATTGGGTATAGTAACCACCTATACAAACAAGCCTGAAGTTGAAGGGTAAGGGGGGCTTGTTTATTTTCAGTAATAGAAAGTTAAGCTGATTGACGAATCTAACATGACATTCACCAAATACTCCCTCCGGTCTATTTTATCTGGCGCACACACATATCAAGATTCAAACTTTAAAAACTTTGACCAATAATTAGGCTAATAATTTTTAATTATTATAATACAAACTTTATATGATTAGATTTGTAAGGAATTATACTATCCAATGATTATAAGTTTATAAACATAAATAATATAATATAAAGCAAATGAATGGTCAAAGTATAATCTAGGAGACCGTGTCATTCTAACTTGCGCCAGATAAAATGGACCGGAGGGACCAAGACTTTAGCAGTAATAGTAACTAATGAGAAAGAGCTTAATGCTATTATATGCTTCAGGCACTAACAATTGATACGGAAAAAAGAAAACCCCACACACATCCAATACTAAAGCTCCCTGCATAAGAGAAATATGAATGGTGCCAACAATTAATCATAACACAAAGTGAGTAAGAATATTTCTGTTGTACTTCAAACAGCACCTACGAACCACTTTTTTTTCATCCAAAGACCTACACGACTGGTGTCATTTAGTAACAGCATTAATGGATAGTTCAAGACGACCAAATATCAGGCTTGGCACAGCTCCAGACCCGAGATGGCGAGATTCATGCAGGATTTGGAATTTGTAGAACAAAATAAAGTGGTTTCAACATATGTGTTCAATCTAAAATAATAACAAAATTGCTCAACTAAATACTCTCAACATGTTCACAGCTCCAGTTCCAAGACTTTCTGGAGCTAGCGATGACCAGTTCCAAAAAATTCTTGGAGCTGGGGCTGTACCAAAGAAGGTTTGAGATGATAATTCTAACAAAATCTGAACCCAACAAATTGGTTCTCAGATACAGAATACACACCTGAATTAATCCTTTTACACGCCAAACATTGTGCTTGAGAACAACAATGTGCCTATCTTCTGGGTGCATTGACTGAAGTTCTTTTCTCACTGACTCAATACTTACGTTATGCTCTGCTGACAGTTGGACAGCCAAAACTTCTCCAGTGGCCTTGACATGTCTTCCTAAAACAACACGGGAATCCCCAACATTGGCAACATAAAGCATGCCACCACAAATTACACTGACCAGGCAGCATGAGCCGACAGCCGCTATCTGAGGCTTTACAGGCCATTGTTTGGTAACAACAGAGAAGAATCCATCTTCTGTAGCTTCATACGCCTTCTTCAGTACATCAGCAGACATTGTATTCTGCTCAGATGCAAACCCTAAATACAAGCCATGAAAGATTGGATTGATCACTGGATCGCTCCTTTAAGTGTAAACTGAAAGCCAAATGCAGATATAGTACTAAGAAATGGGAATAATGCTACTGTGCAGTATTAAAAGGTTAGCAAGTTACTTTTCAGATTCTGGAAGAGATGATCATTGATATAGCAAGCCGTCTCTGGACCACCATGTCCATCGTAAACGCCAACGAAAGTGCCATATGGTCCAGAATCTAGAAAACTCAGTGGGCCCGACTCGATCTGACACTGGTCCTCAAGTAAGTTATTGGCCTGAACAACAGCCATGGAGAACTCCCCATTGACATGCTGCCCAGCATCCTTGTACCATAGAAGTCCATCCTGCCTACCGGTAACATCTGAGCCTGTTCGGGCATGCCGGTTCGATGATGGTCGCCAGCACGCCCGTAACAAGTTCATCAATGTCACTAGCATCCCTCATCAGTCATCTCTTGCACATACGCCTTCGAGCCCGCTTCATCTGTAGTACAAGAAAACCACAGTTGGATTTGTCAGCTCGCCAATAGTTTTCTTCCCTGTGTCCTGTAACAAAAACAACTAGAAATGAAGCAAACACAGCTGTGGCTTATGAACGTTGGTGAGAACTGAGAAGTCCATTGACTTTCGATCTGAAAGCACGATTCAATGATGAGTAGATAACGTTATTTCTTTTATTACATATCAGTTAGCAAATAACACTACAGGTATTATATCAATGTTGCCATAACTGTTCTCTAAACCCCTTAGACCCCAGGAATCTCCTTCTTAATAGCAGTAGAGTAGAAGTGCAAATAATCATGACATGTCCTTCCCACAATTGTTCAAAGCTAGCACTGGACTTAAAAATACTGAGAATCCAATGACAAATGCAGAATTCTATAGGACTCCTTCCACCAGATAAGCAGAAGAAACTATATCTAATCTAGGCATGTAAATGACAATCAAAGCCAATCCCCAGGAACTATAATTACGCAAAGGCTCCTCCCCTCGCCAGGTAAATTGTTAAGCTCTCTCTGGGTCCTTATCCTTATTTATTCGCGACGCGGATGAACTGCATCATCAAAGAGGAAACGAAAGATAAAATTGGACGCCGCAATTCACACATTAATTTCGCCGAAAAGCCTCCACCCCTCCTCCTCTGAAACGCTTACGCGCTTCCCGCACATGACAGGCACCCGCCCCGTCAATTGGAGAAACAAGACATGATTTTCCTTAGCCCACGAACGAAAAAACACAAAATTGGAACGATACCACGGCACGCAAGCACCGAACGGCGAACACTAATAGGACAAACCCGCGGATTCGGATCAGGACGGTGCCTGTCACCGATCCTGGGGGCTGGGGCACGCGGCTCCAACCTCGAAGAGGGGGGGCAGCGGGAGGGAGGAGGGGGGAAAATCGCACCTTTGCGTGGGCGGGGCGCCCAATTGGCGGGCTCGAATTGGGATTAAGCGAGTAGGGACGAGGGGCCTCGATCAGGTCGCTCGATTTGGGCGTCGCCACGCTGCTGCTGCTCCTCTCCTCTCTGTCTCCCTCTCCTTCTGGTCTGGACGAAGGGGGGGAGAGAAAATAGCAGAGGAAAAGGGGAAAAGGAACCGGAGCAGCCGCGGAACGGATCGGGTGGCGCGCTCTCGCCCGGCCCGGCCCGACCCGACCCAACCCACACGAGGCGACGCGGTGAAATGATGAAGGTGGGGGAGCACGGGAGGGGAAGCTTGGGTGGGGCGCGCGAACGCAACCGGCTGAAGTCGGGGACGACGGGCGGCGAGGGTGAGCTGAAGAGGCGGCGGCGAGGGGATCACCGGCGGACGGCGGTGGGGACCCGCGGCCGCGAGTGGCGCGAAGCGAGGGCGTGGTGTGGGCCGTTGCAACAGATACGCTAGATGATGACGTGTGGTGTGGGTAGACAAGTAAAAAAAAAAAAAGAGCAGAGGAATTTAAGAGCAACACCCCCCTGGATAACATCCTAATTTCATATTAGCCCCTGTCAAAACCTCCCTGCTGAAAAATATCAGGCCTGACCAAATTCACTGCCCATTTCGTTCGTTCGTCCGCGTCCCCGTTCGTTCAGAATATAAAATTCGTCAGAATCGATGTCGAATTCACCTCGCGAAACCGCCAGAAGATTCTTCCACAGTCTCGATTTTATCTCTAACGACACTGAAATTAAAGAAAGAGAGCAAGAAATCGTTATGTGAATGAATGACCATCTGTTCTGTCAATGCGTTCACATGTGGATGCAGTCGGGCCTTGTTTAATCTCAGAGCGTAAAGTTTTGAGGTGTCATGTGAAGGTGTTGTATGAAATGTTTGAATACTAATAAAAAAGCAAATTACAGAAACTGTGATATGAATTTATTAAGCCTAATTAATCCACCATTAGCACATATGTTACTATAGCACTTTATCATTAAATCATGAACTAATTATTCTTAAAAGATTCGCATCGCAAAGTAGTCACATTCTATACAATTTGTTATTTTTTTAGTTTATATTTAATACTCTATTTATATGTTCAAATATTTAATAGGATAGGACGTAAACTTTTGGTCACACTTGAGATGCGTGATGGCTCTGCCTGCCCTGCCAGCGGCAGCTGCTTCACCCACCTGTCCACCAAGGTCGTCATCGGCATCTGCTGCCGGCTCCGTCGAAAAGCCACGAGCTTGCCAAAGATCACGGTCACGTTTTTGACCAAATTTGTTGGCTGCAACTGATCAGGCCACAGACTCTTGGACCCATATCTGACTGAATATTCATTTGCGCGGTTCCTAACTGGACAGAACTCTGAATATTTGCTTCTGAACTGTGAAAATTCAGCAGCTGGTATGAGACGACGACGGCCCGGTATGCCAACAGTGTGGTACCGCTGGTCTCCATCTCTTTTACTCCCTTCTGTCGCAAATTATAAATCATTTTAGATTTGTCTTAAGTCAAATTTATCTAATTTTATCAAGAAAAAAATTAAAATATATAGTAACACCTTATATAATTTTTAAAAATACACTGTCAAAATATAGTTTGATGTTGTAGAGATTTGCATATTTTTCTATAAATTTGATCAGGTTAAAGATGTTTGACTTAAACAAAGCTAAAACAACTGATAATTTGGGATGGATGAAGTACTTATCTCTGCCAAACACAACATAAGCATGCCGAGCTGTCAACGTCCATCTTTTTGCACTGCTTCTATATTGAAGCGTAGATAACAACATGAAGAAAAATGTGGTGCAGGAGTATGAAGAGCCTGCAGCAGTCCTTGCTTCACTGCATGGCTTTCATTCAGGCGTTCACACTGACCATGACTAGATCGTGTCGATGCAGATGATCAGCACTGACCAATTTATTAGAGTGAGAGGGTGTTATAGTACGTTCAATAATAGCCTAGCAATATAGTACATATCTCATTGATTAGTGATAGAGCAAGGTGGGTGGTAAAACAAGACAATTCTGTTCTCAAAACAAAATGAGATTGAGTCAGACTTCGGAGCTAACATAGGATGTTGATCCTATTGTTGGAATATGAGTGAACTCTCACAGGTTTATAAACTTTACAATTGAATTGGCTGATGTATGCAGCTCAATATCTAACCCGTCACTCCAGTTATAATGAAACACGCCTCTCGCTCCTGATGCTTGAGCCGTCGTGCTTTTGTATTTGTTATTTTACCCTCTTAATGAAACACGTATCAATGGACGGTTCTCGGGGAAAAACTAAGCACAACTTTACCTAGTCCGATAATCCAGTTATAATGCAATCCAAGCACAACTTTTATGCTATGCTTAACTAAAATTGCATGCCACATCTTCGTGGTATGTTACCATCCAACGAAATGTGTTGAGTCTACACATGGTTATTCATGAATATTCTTTTCACACTTACTCTATCTTCATAAATATTCTTTTCACACTAGATTCAATTCTACAATAGCGCTAGATCAAATAATCTAAAGTTTGACCAAATTTAGATAGGAATATATCAATATTTAGAGTTAAATTCACGAGCAGTCCTTAAAACCTGTACAATGATATCATTTAGGTCCCTAACTATTTTTTTTAATATTTGAGTATGTAAACTTGTACTGTGGTGTTACTTTGATCCCTAACTCTTAAATTTTGATATTTGAATCTCTGAACTTGTACAATAGTGTCACTAGGTCCCCAAACTCGCAGAACAACACACAATTAGCATACCCGGTTAGCGTCATCTATGTATTGACGTGCAAGTTCCGGGTCCTAGATGACTTACAAGTTGGGGATCCAAATATAAAAATATGAGAGTTGGGGACTCGAGTGACACCGCAACACAACAATTTAGGGACTCAAATATCACAAATCGAGATGACAGCAACGTGTAAGCTTAGAGACCGCTAGTGAATTTGCTCCGATATTTATTATACTCAATATGTATCATTAGATTCGTAGGGAAATATATTTTCATAGTATACTTTTTCAAAATCATACATGCAACTTCCCAGCCTAAATGATCAGACTTAGAATTGTATTTTTTTTTTACAAAAGTAGTAGCTAATTGGTGGTTCCATCGAGGCCTCTTGTTTACCCGTTCTATAGAAAGTCATTCTTGGCGCCTTATCCATGCAACTTCCCAGCCTAAAAAAGTATGCAAGACTATTGGGAGACCAATAATGCTTAAACTATAGAAAGTCATTGTTGGTGCCTTATCCATGCAACTTCTCTGCCAGTGCTGTTTAAAGAGCTAGTAGATAAAAATTAAGGGGAGTAACTATGTGCCATCTCTTCCTGTTGGGAGACCAATAATGCTTAAACTTTTCGGACTCGATCCAAGTTCTCATTGTGGCGAAGTTTCACGGAGAATGGCCAGCCCTGAAAAAAAAAAGACTCATGTTTGTACCGAACTTCGCTTTCCTTTATGCTCCAAACACTGCAGGCCATATCAATGAAGCCAGTCCTGTCAGGCTCAACAACACTACATGTGAAACAAGAATGGCGTGGCTAATACAAAAGTCTTGCACACGATCGATAAATAGATACCAATATATAAGGGGAGTAACCATGTGCAGTCCTTTCTCTATACGAGTGGAGAAGACAGGCACGTGTCTATGAAAAATCTTCCATAATAGAAGAATAACAATCAAATTTCTAAATCTAATTACTGTAACTATAAAATCGTAGTCCTCAACCATAAAGCCTGGTTTTTTATAATGCATAGAAGCAGTCTTGAACTCATATCACCATTGGCCTAGTCACAAACAAATAAAAATTTACAGCATCACTTGTAATGTCATATGGAAAGAATATTATTTCTAATGCATAGTGAAGCATAACGGCAAAATATTAATTTTCCTAATGTGTAGAAGACGTCACAAACTCAAATCAATATTATTCTAGGCCCAAAGTAATAAACAATTACCATCACCTCTATCCTAATTGAAAATAAAGAATATTGATCTAGGC